CCAGCCTGGACTTCTGGTAGTTCTCTGTTGATGTGCTGTTCCAGTCGTTTTTGGATAATCTTCAGTAAAATCTTGCTTGCATGTGAAATCAGTACATGTTTTAAAACATGATGTATTTAATGATAACTTGTAAACCAATAGAAATTTTTTAGAAATGACTTGGGGACCAAACACCCTGGATGAGGGCAAGCCAGGACCAATGGGGCTTCAGAACAGCAAGCAAGAGGCCAGGAAACCAATCAGGTAGCGAGTCTCCAAGGCCAGTATTGCAGCCTTGTGTTAAAAGCAACTAAAATCAAGGCAAGACTTCTATTTTAACCTATGTATCTAAATAGTAAAAACACAATCCACAGCCAGAGTTATTATGTAAATCTGTATGTTTTACAAAGATAACATGTAAGGAGCTCTTTCATTGCCTCATATATCACTGAAAGATGTTCTAGGGTAGATTAACCACCTTTCATTCAAGAGAAAAACCCATATTCCATTTAAGAACCAAACTGAAGCTCAGTTTCAGTTCTATGAGTTTTATTTATATAAAAAAAGAGCAAGGTCTCACCATTTTGAAAATGTCCTACCTGAGTCACCAGTTGTTGCTTCCCTGACTTCTTTCCTAATTTCAAGGTATTTTTTCTTTCTTTCCATGGGGACCTATGAGGAAAAACATATTCACAATGTTATACTTTTTAAAATCATAGTTCTTTTTTTCCTCCTTTAGTAACAATTTGGCAAAAGGGAAAAAACACACATAAAGAAGACATGTGGTTCTCACTGGGTATGTATCCACAGGCCAATGCAGCTGCCCCTTTCAGGCTCTGAAAGGCATACTGAGGATCGTGGTACTCCAAGGCTCATCAGGGTGCAACGTAGCTCTAAGACTCAAGTTCTTTTTTGCAAAGTTGTGGTATGACATTGCAGCTCACAGAGTTGTGGTAAAGTTTACATAGCACATGTACCTAGATGCCTTAATAAATTAGTATCATTATATTTTTGTTTTACAGTTCTTTGAATACATGCTTAGATTAAAAAAAATTGCTAGTTATACTTCAAAAGGGTCTAAAACAAGAAGCACTCTCTCATTTGAACCCATGAAGCCTAATGTGCACCTTGGGGTAACAGACTTGAGTGACCAGAAGGACAGAAGAGTTGAATTGAGCTCAGCATGGCACTAGCGCTAGGCCTGACAACAGACAATTTCCTGACTAACTACTTGGCCTGTCATGTCAAATTCATCATATCCATAAATGGCTCCTTTATGTACCTCATTCTTCTGTTCATGGCACTCTGTGACCCCAAGCTACCACCAGAGCCATAGGCCAGTGAGTACCAGGAAGGGGCTCAGTTTCTCTGACTGAAGGAATTTAATGAAGGACATCTTCTGGAGTATGTCCTAACTGTCCTTTTGGTTGAAATTTCCTTCCCCACCAGGGCTCTAAGTGGAAAATTTAAGTTCTGATTAATTTAGTTGTAGTTGTCGAGGATTTTACCTCAGGTCAATTTAAGGAAACTAGTAAGTTAAATGTTCCACGCTCACTGAAATATTGGCAATTTAATAAGTTCAACAAAACAGATAATTCTTTCTACAATTATCAGATAATTTTTTAAATTAAGGAATAATGCTAAAGGACTGCACTCACCTCAACTTCTATAGGAAATGCATAGCAATGATTCAGGTCTATCAGGTTTTCAAAAATAAGCAAGTTCTGTAAAAATTCAAAGAAAGAGATAAGCATCTGAATGGTATGAGAGGGGGAAAATCCACTGCCAACTAGTCAATGTCAATTCATGCTAATCTTCCACTGTGTTTCCAAGGCTGTAAACGTTTCTCCCCACACAGCAGTGAGTAGACATAAAGTGCAGACTTTTCCTTAGTAATTAAAAACATTATGCAGAATTGTTACTTTATAACACACAAAGAAACAACCAAAACGGATGTCAGAAGAGACTCTGAAAATTGCACTGGAGGGCAGAGAAGCCAAAGCACAAGGAAGAAATCAAGATACTAAAGAGTTGAATAGATTTCAAAAGGCAGCACGGGATGACAAAGCGAAATATTACAATGAAATGTGCAAGGAGTTGGAGTCAGAAAATCAAAAGGGCTGAACT